AATTACGACATCTGCCGCTCAAAGGTAAATGCTCCTATTGAATTGGATAGCAAAGGTTCCATCCTCAGAAGAAAGGTTTGTGTGATTGCTCATTTTTCTATGCCTTGCTTCCACCTTCGCTCGAGCGCGCTACTGTGTCTGTCGCTTGGATTCAGGCAAAGTTGCCAGTCTTCTTGATATGTTGTCTTTGCTTTCATGCTAAAAAATACTGGTTTTTGAGTCAAAAGTTATTATACGTCGTTTGTTGGCTCCCTAATGCTACTTAAGTCAAAGTGTATTTACCAGGATATTCGGGAGAATTATCAATCACGTCTCCTTACCTGCAGCCCATTCATCATATTAGGACCACCGAAATCATCTTAGCAACAAACAGTTCAATTTACTCACTTTAATAATGAGCAGAGATCGAAATTTTCGCCTACTTGAGAAGAGAAGCGTCATTTTTCACTTGCTAGGAGAACTAGATGAGAATGTGAGAAGTTTTCGCGAGAAAAGCAACAGTGATTTATTTTTTTTTAGAGAGCATGAGCGGCAGATAAATCGTTTCTTTTTCAGTGAATTCTTGATGCCGATAATGATTTTTCACTTCTTTCATACACCTGAAAATTCACTTTCCGCACTCAAACGATGATCCGAAATTAAGAACCAAAACAACGGTTAGGGCACATCCATAAGTTACGTAGAATCTGAGGAGTAATGAAGAGGGGGTTTCAACATTTGTAACAGACCATGCATAAGGTATAGAAAAAACGCCACGAAGGAGAGGGAAAGGTCTACAATTGGTAAGAAAATTGCATCGTCATTTATGGATGACCCTTATGATTTGACAAAAGGTATAAAAAGGAAATAAATAAAAAAAATCTGCCGGACTGGTTGAAACCAATGAAATGCAAACAGGTGAGGCTATGTGAAATCGTTGTCCCTTTCGTTCTGCCGCTGTTTAAATGGATAACAGTATGACGTCACACTCCGTCAACCATTTAACCTGCGGAAGAACAAAAGAGACGGCGAATTCACAAGCCTCAACTATTTACATAACATTGGGTTGGAACCGAACAATTTGGGGTGGTATTTTTTTCGCTCTTGGTAGTTTTCAGAGCCAAATGGGTGATGAAAAAATATTTTCGTTGGTTTTTGAAGAGAGATATTTTCGGATTATGTATGAGAGAGGACAATGAATTATCGGTGAAAAAGGAGAGATGAAAATGTGAACGGTTCACAACTCACCGAAAAATAGCTTGAGCATGGAAATGCTTATCGTACAGCTGAGTGAAAATTTCTATATCTGATAATGAGAAAGCGAAACGACGAACGTACACTATTCACGGGTTTCTCTGCGCTGTTACTTATGAAAAAAGGGCATCTCCATAGAAATCGGGTGACTTGAGTAACATCGAAAAATATTTTGATCGGAAGGTGATTGCGACAAACAGCAATTTGACTGGTAAATAAATTTAAAAATGGGATGTGATCCTACATTCGTACAGTATATCCAGCATTTTGCGAGCGCTTATGGCCGACACAATCTGGCTATGTTTTTGGTAGGGAGCATATGATTTGACGTTTGGGTTGTGTCGTTTGACGTGTAAACGTTCAAATTTGATCGTTCACACGTCAAACGACACAAGCCAAACTTCAAATCTTATGTTCTCTAGCAGAAACTCAGCCAGATTGTGGCGGCCATAAGCGATCGTAAAATACTGGATAGTGTAATAGCAGGAGCATCAATTGACACTGATAGCCTGATAGCTCGACTTTGTGTACCTTTGTTACTTTCGCCGTAATGAAAATTTGCTCTTGAAGTGCACTGCCCATAATCGCAAGTCAGTCCCATCTGTAAAAACCTGAAAATGAGAAAACAGCTTTCAAAGATTTTACATGTTCTATAGACACTTATTTTAGAGGGATAAATTTAAAAATACACGTACAATGTGATGGAATGAATATATATTTACCAAAAAATATTAGATGAAATTTCGTGAAATTTTTATTTTATGGCCAAAATCTGAGTGAGACTGACTTGCGATTATATTTAACGTCAATGAGAAAAATAACCGCAAGTCGGTCACAATTCCATGAAGATGCTGCATTATTTTAGCACTGTATTGAACAGTAGAAAGAAACCATGGTCCCAGAGAACGTTATTGTATATTTTTGGATTTGTTTCGCTGGTTCCAGAGCAATGGCCGGAACATATTCCGGTGCGTATGGGTCTTCATCAGACCAGAGCCAAACGTGCCAAACCCACCATGCGATAAATCAATTCACATGAGAATTCAAAAATAAGATCAATAAGAGTCATGATGAGTGACCAGCACCATGTTGGCCACGCCCAGACATGTTCCGGGTATTCCCGGGGGAGTGGCAAATCCTTTTTAAATCAAAATCTATCAAGCGATACATCAAATCACATGAGAATTCAAAGCCATATCCATTGTGTGTGTATGTGTATGTGTGTGTATGTGTGTACAATCTAACCCCCACTGTCCGGCAGTGTTATTATGGAAGAAAACTGCTTTTTATTACCCTTCAATTAAAGCAGGTTTAGTCCGGGAGTTAGAAGGTGTTAGCTCTATTGCAGCTCCAGTGACCCATTTCAGAATGCCTGGTAATTCACGACCACTCCGAGGTCACTTTTACTTACAATAAGCCCCGCATGTTCACTCTACCTTTATCAAATGGATAATGGTATCATAAACACACTTCCAGATTGAAAAATATTATTTCCAAATCTGGCACGTATATAGTTTTGAAATTTGTTCAACTGTATTAAATCGATTTGAATGGACATTTCTTACCAATTTTGTTTCGAATACCTCTTGATTCATCTGCTGGCAGCACTTACTGGCTCTTACCGGCGACCAACCCTTACTCAAATGCTTCAACTTCCCGGATGGCGGCCCGCTTGATTCACTCCATCTTGATGACCTTCTGTTTGCCTATCAGCCTCTTCCACTTTTCGTCCTTGATATACAAATCCGGGATAAGATCTTTTTTTTTTACACAATCAATTTTAGAGTTTTTTTAATCGTTCAAATTGATAAAAACCATAAAAACACAGAGACTTTTTTTTTTAAGCAACATCAAAACACGTCATTTCAATCGCGCGGCCTACTTCGATCTTTTTCAGCCATATCCATTGTGTGTGTATCATCCTCTATCCCTCACCCAGCCGGGGGCGTTTGACAAGTAGAACTGCGAATAATTTGATCAAATCTCACGCTTTATGTTTTGAAGACTAGTACTTCAAAAATTGTAACTTTTGAGGCAAGACAGGGTGTCCTCAACAAGTTAAGGGAACAGGATGCACTAGATGTCCACAACAGGTACAGCTAAACATCACATAGACGCCCTTATTCACACTAACTACTCAGGGGGTAGAAGGTCAAGAAGAGCCACCGCCGCCAACTAAAGCTTGAACCGGGTACCTGGGACTCCCACGATATACCCGCGGCAATGGTCAGCAGACGATGCCCTGTGCGTATTTAGTATGTAATATGTTTTATTTGGATACACAAAATATTTGAAGCCATGCGTCATCTAAACCATCATTTGCATCACCACAAATACACTTTTCAACAATCTTCAACTGGAACGTATTCACCAAATCACTACACCCAGGAGCGCATTTCCGATGCTTCCACGCATATTTTTCTCTACCTAGTCATCCCTAAACAATTCCTCCTCCAGCGACTTCAACCACACAACAACCAGAATTCAAAGTCATATCCATTGGCGGTCAAACTGAGTATTGTAAGAACTATATTGACCACATCCGGACATGTTCTAGATACCCTGGGGAACGAGGACAAAATCTGTCTTGAAACAAATCTCATGATGCGATGTGTTGTCTAACAATTTAATTCTATAGAGGCAATCCTCAAAACATATCTGTGACGTTGTTTTATAGTTTATTTAATGCAATCCTATTTTTCTAAGAGCAACCGTACCAATGAGTAAATAAGGCACATTTACCAACCTCTACCATCACGCTACTTGCGTACCGGGGGTTGCTATTCAGGTTGGGGAAATAGCAATCCGCACCTTGGGAAGTAGTGAGTTGATAAATTTAGCAACCCGGTAGCAACGCATCAGATGGTTGCTATTTTGAATAAACGCCAAAACAGGTGTGGAAAACGGTAACTTAAATTATGACTCTGATAGCAACGACCGGTGTGGAGAGGAGTGATTAAGCCAAAATGGAAACGCTGTGCGTAAGTAAAATAGTGCCGCAAATGGCAACGACTGGTACGGTTGCTCTAATGGGACTGACTTGCGGTTACTTTTCGCTGTGGGACAATTTGACTTCCTATTGTTTTTAATTTTTCTTGAACAAACCACCTTTTTTCAATTGACGAGTGCACGGATGAATTTGAGTTCACTCACTCGACAAAAAGTGACACAACAGCGGGGCTCTATTTACTAAAAATGAACACATATGTTCATTTTTAGTAAACAGGGCCCCGCTGTTGTGTCACTTTTTGTCGAGTGAGTGAACTCAAATCCATCCGTGCACTCGTCAATAGCACATCTCAAAAAACATAGACAACTTCCACCCTGTTCTAACTGTCATTCAAACGCCCCTCGGTTGCTGCGATGCGTAAAAAAGCTATATACGAAGAGAGAACGACGACAAACAGCTGCGAAGTTTACATTTAGCATTCTACTGCAGAAGAGATAGTTGTCATTTAGACGGAAGAGAATAAAGTAGTAGATAGTAGCACTGAGTTTTAGTTGGTTCCGTTCCCAAGATCCAAAGTGTCACAGTGGGTGACCGTCGTGTTCCGCCGTTTCCGATTGTATAGTGCCACAGTGTGTGGAACCGTATTGCCTTTATGTCCGTTTGGTCACAGAGTCACAGTGTGTGGCTGCAGTGCAATCTTGTCGAAGAGATTACAGTCCCGCCAATGAACCTCGTTTTTCCGTTACAGCCCCGAACACACCCCAAATCGAATTTCATCGAATTTCCGTACTTTTCTTGTGTTCCATTTCCCCTCCAGGCAACTCCGGGAGAACATTATCCACTCGCAACCGATCGAGAAGCAACAATCGATGGCATGCCTCTTCGACGCCCTAATGGACGGAATCGAGCGAAATCTACACATCAGGAACCGTGATCGGTAAGTCACGCAACGGACGACTGCAAACCTTCCGCGGAACCACAATCCTAATAATTCGTATTTTGTTTTGTCCTTCTCAGATTTACCCAGAACCTGTCGGCGTTCCGCCGGGACCTGAACGATTCCCTCAAGTCCGCCAACAGCCTACCGAACAGCTCGTCGCTGAACGAAATGGTAGTTTCCTAGTAATTTAAAAAAAAAACTGGATAAGTTCACATACAATCACTCACTCACACACACACAAACACACAGACTTAAGCAAAGGAATACACACACTCACGTCACACACACACACATACACAATCACATGCACATGCAAGTATTTTCGCTTCGTATGTCTGCGCTCGTCCTCCTCGATCATCGTCGTTCTCCCCGTTTACAAAGTGCGTGTGTTTTTAATTTGTTTTAAGTGTGAGTATGGTGTATGTGTCTCAATCAAGGTGTCCTCCTGTGTATAGAAAACAAACATAATTAAGAGTTCGTCTATGTTTTAGGGAATGAATGCGGGTGCGGTTGGTGTGTGGAGTGTGTTTGCGTGCAAAAAAAATCGTATTTTGATAAAAATGTGTAAAAGTAAGACTTATCATTTTCTTTGATGAAGCCTGGAAAAAAAAGATCGTTAGTTGTTTCATTTTTTTTTCTTTACATAGTCTATCATTCCGATTAGTTTTGGAGAAGGAACCGATTTTGATTTTGTTTTTGTTTTTTCAACAGCTCGTTGTTTACTATTGATTGGCAAAGCCCCACACTGTCTCAGTTCAAGCACAGAAGTCTCTAGATCAATTAGCACAAATTATGCGCATCCACAAAAAAAAACCTAGGATTGGCCCATGACGGGATTTGAACCCGGACTGCTACCGACAAGCACATTTGCCTACTGTGTGTGAGTGACAACGCTTGGTTTTCTACTAACACACACACCCCCACACACACCCAACTCGGCAGGCTTCGAATCCCGTTCGAAGCCTGTCAAGTGCAGTTTTTGTGTTGCTTTTTTTATCTCATCACATCCAAAACTCGTTTCACTTTCATCATCGCGTAACAAAATAATGTACTAATCCTTCCGACCATTTTCAAATGTGCTCTTCATCATCTTGTTTGTTTTTTTCTTCTTTTCTCTCAACAGCTTGACTAAAGCAATCTTTTTGGAGCCGCAAAAAAATATCGTAACTGTTATAACTACTATTACTACTGCAGTTTGCATTTGTAAATTTGTTTTTTTTTTATGTTTAACCGTTCAGAAAATTTATGTTCCTTCCTCTTTCGATTGAAAACACACACACACACACACTCACACACAGACCCATTGCGATACATTTACTTTCTTTCTTTTTGTTGTTTTAGCTGCTAGATAGATTCTCTTCCTAAAAGTCGCTAGAAAAGGGCCCAAATTTTTCTGTAGTAGTCCTGCGAGTGTTGAATGAATGGTGTGGAAAGTTGTCCCATTTTTATTTATCCAAACTGCGTTTCCTAAATGTGTGCGCCACTAAACGAAGCTGCGGAAGAAGACGAAGTCGAAGAAGAGTCAGCATTAGGGATTTCTTTTCTTTTGAAGGGAAAATCGTTGTTACAAATAAAAACAAAAGAAGTTTATACAAATGAAATTTAGAAAAGTCCGTAAAAACTAGCACGTAAGTCACGTAAGCAAAGCAACAAATATTTGATGTAATCACTGCTAGAAAAACAAGAATACAACAAGAAGAAGAAAACTAGTGGATGAAAGCAGACACTCCCCCTCAGGCAGACAGGTATAGGAAAGGAATAAGAAAGCTGGGATTTTTTTTGTGGATGAAAGTAGGCAAATCGGAAAACCCGGCCGCAAGAGGGTGTTTGTAATTTAAAAACCGACATTTGTGTGGGCGTTAGTTGATATACAAAAACAGAAGGGGGAAAAAATGGCAAAACAAATCTAACAATTAGTAAACAATGTGTGAGAGAGCGAGAGAGCTAAGGAAGATTATAGGTTTTAAGAAATTACTGTTGCAAAATCGTGCGTTCAGTGAAAACAAAGCAGGAAACCATTTGAAGGCAGAGAGGGAGAGACGTCATCGGACGTCGCCGTCGGAAAAAAAGAGAAAGCAAAGAAAATAAAACAAAAGGCCGATATTAGATTTTTTACGAACGCTCGCTCCTATTCAATCAATGCCGAAATGATGATCCCCGTTCCTCAAACCTTGGGCAGTCCGGCGATGACCACCGATTCGATTCCCAGATGGTTGGATCCACGAAGCATCTTGAAGTATCCGCGTTCGCCCCAATCCGCCCCGTACGAATTGGCAATCAACCAGTACGGTACGCCACGTTCCTTGCCCCATCCGATGAGCCGCACGGCGTGTTTGCCCACCTCCCGTCCAACCACGTGCCGATACACACCGCTCCGGTACAGGTACAGATCCTGATAGACGCTGAACCCGGACTCGACCGGTCCGTTCGTCATAATCTCCAGCTGGATCATCCGTTCGTCGTTCGGAAGTTTGTACGCCGCTGTTCCGTAGTACTTATCCTTACGATACGTGCCGTCGTACCCTGCGGTACAGTGATGTGAACAGGCAGGAGTCTTCTCCGGGTGACACCCTTCGAACGGATACAGACACGGCTTGAACGGATATGGCTTGCACCCTTCCGTACTGTTGTACGCCGCACCGCTCACCAGTCCCACGTCCACCCAGTACTGGAACGCAGTTCCGTCCAAAAATCCACCGTTACACCCGTTGCCACAATCCTTACAACATCCCATCAGATCCTCGGCCGCCAGTTCCAGATCGAACTTCCCCTCCGAGTGGATGCACATTCGATCGGACATCACACTCACGGCTGCCACCGCCCAGCACGCCCCGCACAGTCCCTGATTCTTGATCGTGGAAATCGACTTGCAAAACGGCCACTTCTCTCGAGCATCAAAATACTCCGGAATTTCCACGTCATAAGCCACGTGGTGTACCTTCGTTGGCAAATGGAACCCGATCTTGCTCTCGTAGATTCCCTTCATGTTGCGAAAATTCTCGAACTGTATCCCATTACGGAAGCTGCCATCCGGGGTCCAGGTTTTGGCGTGCATCCGCACCTGAGTCAGGAAGCCATCGTTGAAAGGGTCATCGCCGTGGCGTTCCGACCTGGTTGCAACCGGGCTGAACAAACCGACAACGACCGTAGTAGCGAAGAAGAGCGACTTAAATTTGACCATTTCACGTCTGTATCCGTAGCAAAACTAACCGTTGGATTGTTGTTTGTGCCAATCGGGAGGGGCTAGCAGTTCGATCACACCGTTCAGATAAGGTGCGCGATTGTTGCAGATCAGCATATCTCCGCCGATCGCCACAGCTGGGGTAAGTGCACTCGACGGTGATAAGCGATGGCGATAGGTGGAGTAGAATATGTGTAGTCTCTTTGTGGCAGTTTTCTTTCTCTTGGCAGGAGGTGATCTATTTAGTTCATCATTTACATTTTAGAAGACTGTTGTAGGGCAGCACAGCCAGATGGAAGACTAGGTGCCATTGAGGTGAAAGTGGATTAGTGAACTGAAGATCCGGGTTATTATGATATTCTGGTACAGGTCGAACTCGATTATCCGGAGGCTTGAAAAAAAAATTTCACTCCGGATAATCGAATCATTTATAGATGATGAAAATTAATTGGACTGGGTTTATGTGCCCAAATTAAACGGTTTAAAATAATTCTGTTCAGAGGCGTCGCGTGCCTTATTTGTTTACCTGTGCCCCAAACTTAGTTCGTTATAGTTTACCCCCACACCCTATTTCAAAACTACCCAAATTTGGGTAGAATCCACCCAGATCGGTCAAAACTGAACCTACCCAAAAAATGGCTAAACTATGTTGGGAGTGACAAGTTGACAAATACCCCCTTATTCTGCGAGTCACGTGACTCTCTCTCACCGGTGAGGTGACAATTGTCACCTCGTGTGAGGTGACTCTCCATGCAAATCAAATGGAGAGTCACCTCACACGAGGTGACTATTGTCACCTCACCGGTGAGAGAGAGTCACGTGACTCGCAGAATATGGGGGAATGTTTCATTGTGATTAGTCAACACTGATTTTGATAGCGGTTTTTATTAGCATTACAGCTTCAATGCTAGGGGTTAATGCATATATTATGTCACGCTCTAGAGGGAAAGGGGTTCTATGATTTTGTAACAAGCAATGCATTAGATATAGGAAAAACATCACGATAGGGGGGAGGGGGTAAATTTCTCCTCGATTTAGCGTAAGATAATTAATGCATTGGCCCTAGGGAGGGTTACAAGTAGTTTAAGTCAATATACTTTGGGCCTTTTATCCAACTTCAGGTTAAGTTAGGTCAGGTTTCACTGAACTAGAAATAATGGTTTTAAAGCAATTAATTTTAGTCTAGATAAGGGGGGTTATTCCAAGAGTCGAAGTGACTTTTGTCACTAGTGAAGTGAGAAAGTCACGTCGTGGTGACGTGACTCTCCATTTCATTTGCACAGAGAGTCACGTCACCGAGACGTGACTTTTCTCACTTCACTAGTGACAAAAGTCACTTTGACTCTCGGAATAACTCCCCTTATCTTATCAATTTTAATTATAAACAAGTTACCTTTATCCCTACTTTAGGTTATTATAGTCACAGAGAACAGACGTCCAACTTCCACCAAAAACTTGTGTAAAGATAAGTGGGAACGTCGCCGTTACGTAGCGCTAGCATCTCCTGATTTCCTCTATAAATTTTTCACTTCCGACCAATTTGGCGTTAGTATCGATAAATTTTCGATTATAAATTATCACTCGGCGCTACCGGATCTTAGTGTCTGGTGTAAGTTGTGCAACACCAGCGCCATCATGTTGTCAAGGAGGGGTTTAAAATAAGGAAGTCGGCGTTGGTGACGCTTAAGTCGAATAGGAATCTTTACACAAGTTTTAACAGAAATTTAGTTCGAGCCTCAACGTCTGTTATCTGTGATATAGTTTAATCTAGTTTAATTATTGTAGTAATAGGGAAAAACAAATTTATTGTTAAGGAGTAAAATCTCGCGTGTTCACTACTTGCTTGCACTGCCTTTTCTCTTTACCGGATGTTGGCTCTTTCGATCGTGTTGCCAGACGCTTACTCGCTGACACTGACAGTTTCGACCGCTGTGCTGCACCCTTCAGCAACGTCCGTGATCAGGTTGGTCAGCTCGGCGTCTTCGGCGCCAACAATCTCCCCCGGGTGTAGTCCAGAGCTCTCCGGAACTCCACTATTCTCCTTCACGTCGAGTAATGCCAACCGAGATACCGGCCGCACTGGCGTTTTCGTGCCAATCCTGACCACCGCTTGTCGGTTTCCACCACCTGCTCCCGGGATCATCCTAATGATGATTCGCCCGCGCTCCCAACCATTCCGCTTCGTCGATTCTGCCACCATCACCAAATCGACTGGTTCCAATGGTCGCACTTCGTCGAACCACTTCGGTTGCCGACGGATTACCGGCAAATACTCCACCGACCACCGTTTCCAGAATGTGTCCAGCTGCTGCTGAATCAAATCCCAGGAAACACCCAGGATTTGACGGCGGACCAGATAGCTAAATGTTTGCGAAACACTTTCTTCCAAATTGTCTGGCTGCTTCGCCCCGTTTGAGCTTAGCAGCAGGAAAAAACGACGAATGTCTGGAGCCCCTCGTCGTCAAGCTTCCCCCCGGAGTACGCTTCTCCCATGGCAGATTTGACGGATCGTACTAGGCGTTCCCACACTCCGCCCATATGTGGCGCTCCTGGCGGGATGAAGGTCAACTTGGTGTTGGCACTGTTGAACGTTTCGGACAGTCCCTGGCTTATCTGATGTTGCAGTACACGTTCGGCTCCCTGAAAGTTTGTGCCGTAATCATTGAAAAACTCTGCTGGCGGTCCGCGGCGGCCTACGAATCGACGGACATGCGAGATGAACGACTCAGTCGATAGTGCATACGCAATCCCTAGATGTATGGCCCATACGGTCAGGCATGTGAACAGTGCAACCCAGCGTTTGACAGTAGATCTTCCCAGCTTCACCAGCACCTCAATTGAAGCATTGAGTTGTGTAGGCTTGACGAATCATACATCTAACATAGTAGGGGAAATGGCTCTAAGGCATCCAATCTTATCAAAATCTGCTATTTATCAATTTTATCTATTTAAAATTTAGTCGATTGCTGAATTTATGCTTGGTTCCAAATTAGGGGCATTTAGGCCGACATTACATCCATTTCCCTTACACTCTAAAATCTTCACGTTTTATTTACGTGAAATATCACGTAACTGATCTGTATATAGAAAATCTCAAATGTTACGTGACCTTAGTAACTTTGACCTGCATTGCACGTCATGTCCTCTAAAAATGTTGGTGAAATCGACCGCATATTCACGTAAACAGATTTGGTGTATGTATTTGTGTTTGTGTGTTTTGGACTTCGATATTTCCGCAAAACGGGATTCACGTGATTTTCCGGTACGCAAACAAAATCAATATGGCGTCACCGAGCATGGTGATAGAACACCTCAAATATTCAAAAAATTTCAGCAGTTTGCTGCACATATTGGACGGTAATTTGATTAATTTACATCACGCCTACCTGCAAGACCGAAAAAAAGCGAAAGTTTGGATTTTTTCTCGAAAACTACGCAACATATTGAAAATCGGTTTTCTGCCGTTTATTGAACACACATTAATAATGGTACATTTATCAGTCGATGCTGTAAAAACGAGGTCCTGGTGCCCCGCACGGCTGCTCCCCGTGGACGATGTTCTAAAAAATGCTTTTTGCGGTGCCAACTGCGGTTTGTGATGTAATCATCTGAAATAAAAAACAAACCATGCCAAATCGTTAAGCATGTGTTAAACTAGTCCTTGATCGTTCGGTTTTTTTTTTAAATTTTTTTGACAAAATGGCGGCCAAAGTTTCAAGTTGGGTTTAGTCCACTATAAGTGAATATTTTTGTACGTCGCATAACTTTCACAATTTTCATCGGATCAACTTGATCTTTTGAGGAAATATTCTTGACTTTATATATGTACTTTCGATTAGGACAATAAAAAAAAATCAATTTTTTGAAAGTTTGCAGGTAGGCGTAACCCCTTAATTGATTTATGATTATATGTCGCCTTTTCTAGTTTTATAATTTCAGGCGGTGGCATCAGCATTTTGAGTCTGCAAACCTCGCTGCAAACAATAATTGTTGAAATTTTGTCAGAAATAAAAAAAAAAAAACGAAAAACTAATACACGTTTCTACCTCATAATAATCAATTAGTCAATAATTTACAATTTATGAGTCGATATAAGCATTTTTTTTAACTCTTTATTTGTTCCAAATCCAAAATAAATTACATTTCATTTTAACCTAGGTGCTCCAGTTACTGCAGTAACGTACCAGCCTTAATTGTTATGATATATATCTAAGTGTTTTTACATTGTTCCTGTCTTGGCAATTCAGTATTTTAAACAGGTTTCTTAACCTGCATGTCAGTATAACAATTGATATCTTAAAACTAAAAACTAAAACTAAATCTTATCTAAGTATAAAGGGAATTAATCGTTGCAATTGAGGATTGCAACGATTTTTGCCTGAAATTATTAATTATTTTGTTGGACATTTGTGCTAAAGTCTCAACATTCGAAATTCTATGTACTTCGGTTGTACTGTACCAGGGAGGCAACTTCAAAATCATCTTCAGAATTTTGTTCTGAATCCTTTGAAGTGCTTTTTTCCTGGTAGTGCAGCAACTAGACCATATTGGCACAGCGTAAAGCATGGCCGGTCTAAAAACTTGTTTAAATATTAGAAGTTTATTCGTCAGGCAAAGTTTGGATTTCCTGTTTATAAGAGGATACAAACATTTTATATATTTGTTACATTTGGCTTGAATGCCCTCAATGTGATCTTTAAAAGTTAATTTTTGGTCAAGTATTAATCCAAGATATTTCACTTGGTTTGACCAGGAAATTGGAACTCCGTTCATAGTGACTATGTGACTACTACTAGGTTTCAAAAACGAAGCTCTAGGCTTATGTGGAAATATTATAAGTTGAGTTTTGGAAGCGTTGGGAGAAATCTTCCATTTTTGTAAATAAGAAGAGAAAATATCTAAACTTTTCTGCAGTCTGCTGCAAATAACACGAAGACTTCTTCCTTTAGCGGAAATGCCTGTGTCATCAGCGAACAAAGATTTGTGGCAACCCTGAGGCAAATCAGGGAGGTCCGAAGTGAAAATGTTATACAATATAGGCCCAAGAATGCTACCCTGAGGAACTCCTGCTTTAACAGGTAGTCGATTAGATTTGGAATTTTGATAATTTACTTGAA